AAAAAAAAAAAAAAAGTCCATTTGCATCCATCTTTCCCATTACCTCAGACTAACAAGCTATCCAGTTACAGGAGTGTCCCAAAGATCACCATACACACAGTAGCCAAACGTATTTTTATTTACAAAAGAGTCATTACAAAATTTTAAAAAATATTTACAAAATACTCTCTACGTATTGATATATAAATATAAAACAAATAATGAATTTCTTAATTTTTCTATATACGGTGAACTTTGGGACACCCTGTAGTTAACTTCCTACACTTCCATCCACCATTAAAAAAGCCTCAGGCAGGCTCGTCCCCTGTGGCTCAAGTGGCTAAGGCAACAGCCACATACACCTAAGGTGGCGGGTTCGAATCCAGCCCGGGCCTGCCAAAAAACAATGAGGCTGCAACCAAAAAATAGCTGGGCGTTGTGGCAGGCGCCTGTGGTCCCAGCTACTTGGGAGGTTGAGGCAGGAGACTTGCTTGAGCCCAGGAGTTAGAGGTTGCTGTGAGCTGTGATGCCACAGCACTCTACCCAGGGGGACAGCTCGAGGCTCTGTCTCAAACAAAAAAAGCCTCGGGCAAAAGGTGGTAGGCCCTCTCTTCTTTCCCTACAGGCTCTTGAAGCAATGAACAAGCAGGGGATGGGAACAGAAAGGACACAGGTAGGCGACTCCCCTCAGCTTGACGACAGGGCTGCCTGTCTCTCCGCTTCTCATCACGGAACTAGAGCACCTGCCTGGAAAGAGGCCCCTTCCTCCACCTCAGTAACTGACCCACAGGGCCTAGGTGTCCAAAGAGATCCCGCAGGCGCAGCAGCCCTTAGGGACAAAGGCCGCCTTACAAAGGGAAAAGGGAAGAAAAAGAATTCGGCAATAGCATGAGAACCTTGGAAACAAAAGGGAGAGGGGCAGAATACCAAACCAATCTCGGGTGTTCCCAGAGGGTGCCAGGTTGGGTGAAGAAACGCGTGTGGGGGAAGAGGAAGATTTAGGAAACTCCTCGGAGAAAATGGATTAGAGAGCTGCTGGGGGCGCAGCAGGAAGCAGGAAGAGGGCTGCAGGCAGGACTGAGGCCCTGGGGTGAGAAGGGAAGACACTTCGCGGGTGGGGAAAGGTGATGGCAAAGAAGTAAAGGCTAGACAGGGCCCAGTGGCCGGAGAGCTGGCGCTTCGCCCCGCGTGGCTCTCCAAGGGGCCCTCATGAGGGGCTCAGAAGGAGGCTGAGGATACGCAGCCAAGGCGTTAGGGGGAAAGGGCAGAACCGGGTGTGCAGTGTTGGAAAAGAAGGCTGAGAACAGAACCGTAGAGAGGCTAGGAGAGGACTGAGGGGGGGATGACCCCCATCCGCCCCACCTCACCTGGGGCCGGGTCGGAGTCCAGGTCTAGTGTTGAGATAACGCCAGCTGAGGCCAGTCCCTCCGTCCTGCGCGGGAGACCCCGGACACAAAGCGGGGCGCGCGGGAGGAGGGAAGAGGGAGGAGAGAGGAGGGGGGAGGAGACGCCTGAGGCGCGTGAGGGGGGGAAAGGAGGGGCGCCCGCCGCCCTCCGCCAGAGTCAGGGGCGGAGCGTGCGGGTGGAGGCCGAGCTCGACTGGCCAATGGGTATCCCGCCGGCCGACAGGCTAGGGCGCGCCTCCCAGCAACTCACCTCGGCACCTGGGCCGCGGTTGGCCACAGCCAATCAAACTTCATTTGCATAACTAGCCCCACCCATTTGCTCCAGCCAGGGGAATGCTCGATTAGAGTACAAAGAAGGCCCCCGGTAGGAGGACTGGATAGTTTGGCGATTCACTACTCCCAGAGCATTCTATCGCTTTTTCAGTGCGTTTTATGGCTCTTTCACGTTCAAATTGATGAGGGGAGGAAAGTAGGGTGATCACAGAAGTTTGACCCATGGTCTCTTGAGAGGTGGAATCTCTTCTCTCTGAGGACCTTCTAACCAAGAGTTGTTCTTTTCCCTGTCTTTGCCTCTCAGCCCTCTGCCCCCTCCCCTTTTTCCCACCGCCCTAATTTCTGCACTTCTTCCCGTAGGCTGCTGCCCACTACTGGTCTTTAGTTGCACTGCAGCCCTGATCAGTAAGCCGGGAGCATAGCCTGGACCAGGGGTCCTCAAACTTTTTAAACAGGGGGCCAGTTCACTGTCCCTCAGACCGTTGGAGGGCTGGACTGCGGGCCCTGGGACGAGTTGGCTGCTAAGCAGGACAGGCAGGGGCGGCAAAAACACCCGGCGGGCCGGATAAATGTCCTTAGCAGCCGCATGTGGCCCGCAGGCTGTAGTTTGAGGACGTCTGGCCTGGACTGATGCTTCCTAGACACCAAGACAAACCCCCATCCAGAAGGAAAAGGAAAGAGGAAGAGGTTACTGCCCTAGGTAGAAGGAAACTGAACAAGTGGCTTTGTTACCTACGATGGCAAAAGCCAATACAAATTCCTCCACATCATCACTTCCCACCTTCCCTTACCTTCAGGTCTGTACTGGGCCACAATGGTGACTGACTGGCCAGCCCGTTTCAGAGCAGCTGCAGCTTGTTCATGAGTTGCATTCCTCAGGTTCACTCCATTCACCTGTCCAAAGACAGAAGCTGTGAACCACTCCAGAAGGAGAGTCCTCAGTCCTAGCAGTTAGGAGAGGGAGGAATATAGGCAGCCCATCCCTGAGCATTCAGATGTGTTTCCCAGTAGTCCATCCTTGTCCCTAAAGGGGACCTAAAGGATATATATCTAGTGCAATAATTATCTTCACAGAGGGCCAGGTGCTGTGACTCATGCCTGTATTCCTAGCACTTGGGAGGCCGAGGCAGGTGGATTACCTGAGCTCATGGGTTGGAGATCAGCCTGAGGCAGCGTGAGACCCCCCTGTCTCTAAAAATAGCCAGGCATTGTGGCAGATGCCTGCTACTCAGAAGGCTGAGGCAAGAGAATCGTTTAAGCCTGAGAGTTTGAGGTTGCTGTGAGCTGTGATGCCATGGCATTCTACCCAAGGCAAAGTGAGACTCTGCTCCCCCCCCAAAACAAAAAACAAACAAACAAAAAATATATATATCTTCAGGGCGGCGCCTGTGGCTCAAAGAGGTAGGGCGCCAGGCCCATATACCAGAGGTGGTAGGTTCAAACCCAGCCCTGCTCAAAAACTGCAAAAATGTATATATATCATCATAGAGGTAAAATGCCAATTAAGGTTAAGATCCAAGAGACATTCATTCCCTCCTCAAGGGTAAGTCTGGTCTTGGTCCCTATCCCTCACTAAGGATGTCTATTTTAAAAATGTAAGTGTTCTCCAGTTCTTAGCCCTTCCCTCATCCAAAGCATTCCTTGGAGGAAGCAATATCTCCCCTCTTCTCTTTCAGACTGGCATAACTCCCATCCTCCCACCGTGCCTTTGTCTCCTCACCGATAAAATCCGGTCTCCTCTCCGCAGCTCCCCACTCAGGTCAGCTGGGCCTCCTGCCAGGATAAAGGAGACAAAAATGCCTTCTCCATCCTCTCCTCCTACAATGTTGAAGCCAAGGCCTGTGGATCCCTTGTGCAGGATGATCTTTCGAGGCTCTCTGGTGGGAAAGAAGTGGAGGAGTCAGGACAAGGTAGATATGAACTGTTGTCCCTGTGAAGGCCAGCCTGGAACAAGAGCCATACTGGCTGTAGGGAGTAAGGACTTGGGTCCCTATGTATGATACCCTGTTTCTCCCTTTGTCTCCTGAAACCTGTTTGGCTGCTATTTTCTGTCAGGTGCCAAGTTTCAGTTCCTCTTCCCTCCCTTCTTCCTGAAGCCTTAGAGTCAGCTTCTCAGTGGACAGTCCCTTCTCTTCTCAGGTCAACAAACACCCTCAACTCTAGAGACAAAATCTCAGAGCCCATTCACTGATTCTTTTCCTTCCTAGATTCTCCTATCCTACCAATCAGTATTATGGACCCTGGACTATAAGAAAAGGAACCAGTCAGGGGCAGTGGAATCACCCTGGGGTTGACTGCACTCACCACCCACACAAGATATGCATACTTACTTTACACATGCTACTCTGCAGTCTCAAAATTCCCACCCACCAACTATGACCCCTCCTACCTTTCTCAACAACATATTTAGTCAGTAGTTACCCCTATGTACCTCTGCCAGGTGATGTGGAGACAGAGATAAAGAAATCCTAGATCTGGGTGAGGTGGCTAGCACCTGTAGTCCCAGCTACTGGGGAGGTTGAGGTGGGGGGATTGCTAGAGGCCAGTAAGGAAAGGAAAGGAAGAAGGAAAGAAAGAGAGAGAGAGAGAGAAGGCAAGGAAGGAAAAAGAAAGGATATACCAGGACCCCCAAAGGAGCTTAGGAGCCAGACTGAAGAGAGGACACAAGCTCATGAAAAACCTGAGTGAAACTAACCATATCTAAGGAACCCCTCTGTAAATAGTCACAGTGTCATCAGGTGAGAGCAAATAGCTGCACATATATTGATATCCATACAACCAGACTCCCAGCACACTTTCCTCACCCATCACCCGTCCTTTCATTTGTTATAAGCATCTGTCATTGGAGGGGTCCCCAGCCCCAAGCAAGGCTCCTCCTTTCTTGCTCCCAATCTCAAAGGTGAGACTCCTTCCCCAGTCTCAGATGCTGTTGCTCCATAACCTTGCACTCCTACCTGACATCCCCTCCGGGCCGCAGAGAACGGAGCGGCCAGGCCCACTTTTGTGAAGCCCTCCTCCAGGCAGAAGCCGAGGCCGATCCCAAGCCCAAGGCCAAGCTGGAACCTGAGAACTTGCGGGCCCTCTCCATGGCTCCTCTGCCTCTCCCTAGTCCGACACCCCTTCCGGCTCCAGTGCAGCCTGCCCAGCAGCCTACCAGGCCCCACCCCGCAAACCTGTCCCCGGGAACCCCAGCCGGCCAGACCCGTTCTACTGCCGGCCGGCGCAGCCACCGCCACCAGTGGGGTGGGGCTGTTCCCCGCTAGGCCCCTGAGCCGGTCAGCCTCTCAGATTCCAACCAACCCCATCACCCGGACTGCTTTCTTCTCTGATTTGGAAAGGTTGCAGCGGAGGGGGCTGCTACTATCTCAGGACAGGAAACTCGCAGCCCCCTGAACGCCCCACCCTACCCTTCATCCGCACTTTCGGATCGGAGCCACTCATTCAGCACTCCCCCTGATGGTAGAACTTGTCCTTACAGCTACCTCTGTCCCATTCCAAAGCCCCAAGGGCTGAGAGAAGGACCCAGACCCCAAAGCCAGGAGTGATGAAGGCCTTATCCTCTTCTTTTCCACACTACAAAGAGGCCTGTGGCCCTCCAGAAACGGATTCCTCTTCTTCCCCATCCCTTGTTAGAAGGGATAGGGGGGTGAAGCTCTTACCTGGTAAAATCCTCCTCAGCCAGCATGTGCCTGGGGATAGGAGAGTAGCGGGTAGAGGGAACCTGAGGAGGAGCAGGGTAGTTGACCTTGCTCTCCACAGCCCCAAGATAACCCAGGCTGGAGTTATGGCTTATGTGGTTGTCAGCCAAGGCAGTGAAAGCTGGAATCAAGAAAGGGAGATAAAAGTTCAGAGACTGGTACAGGTACCCTACCCCAACCCCCTCCGAGGACTTTCCCCCACACCCCACTTTAGGTGCAAAAGAGACCAAGAAATGTTCATTCCCAAGGCGGCTCCTCCTCACTCCATCCACACCCCCACCCAGGGTTCCTCCTCCGCAGTCCCTTTCTAAATCCTGGGCTCACTCCTGTGAGTCTTAGAAAGAGCTGAAGTCAAGGCAGTCTACAAAGAAAGGCATGACTGGAGGTGTGACTAATAATAATCTCTCACATCTCTATAGCCTAATACAGTTTTCCAAGGGCTTTCTCAACCATGATCTCATTTGATCTGTGCAGCAGCAGGCCTACATGGAAGGCAGCACATATATCATTAGCTTTCTTTTTGCCAAAGAGGATACTAAAGAGAGGTGAAAGGGACTTGTCTAGGGGCACCCAGCTCTAAGGGACAGAGCTGAGATCTGGACTCAGTTATTCTGAGCACTATCCTCTGTGCTTGCTCCCTCTTAACAAGGGGAATGAAGTTCTTCCCCTCCAGAAACCAATCGACAGGACTTTAGGCCGGGGGCAGTGGCTGATGGGTACGTACTGCTGGCGTAGTCAGGGGGAGCATACATGTCGTTGAGGTGGAGGCTGCCTGGCTTAGCCACCTTCAGATAGACCATATCAGATGTGTTCTTCAGTGAGGCCACAGCTTCCTCATGCCTCACATCCTGCAGATTGGTGTTGTTCACCTAGAAGAAAACAAGCCTCAGGTTAGGACTAGAGAGAAGGGAAGGCCTCTCCAGGTATCCATGAGGGGGTACCATTTCAGTGAAATTCAAAAGTGTGCTAGCAGAGGTCAAGGCATAGAGCTGTGAGGAGCAGAGACAGGAAGTAGGGGTAGGGCAAGTGAAGGGACCCGAGCCATGGCAAGACCTAGGGCTTTGATATTTGGGTAAACACAACTCAGATGATACTCTTGAAATTCCCCATAATGCCTTGTCCCTGAGTGAGGTTCAGGTGGAGCGAGAGGATGCTGGAGCTCCTCCTTCCCACCCTACCATTTGGGGTATCCCTGTGAAGTCTATCTCACCGCCAGCAGCCGGTCCCCAATCTGTAGGCGTCCATCCTTCTGAGCAGCACCCCCCTCAATGATCTTGGTGATATAGATGCTGTTGTCTCCTGGGATGTGCTGGTTGCCAATGCCCCCAGCAATGCTGAAACCCAGGCCTGGGTAGGAGCCAACAGGGAGTGGGAGAGGACCACAAGGAAAGGTTAGAGTGTTGTCAATACCAAATATAACCCTACAACCCCATGCAACCCACTGGTACCACAGGAGCTTCTCCAAGGGATCCCAAACACTAGGCTGCCACCCACAAGGTCAGTAAGGGTCAAGAAAGAAGGCATGAGGTGGAACAGGGGGAGTAAGGCAAGGAGTAAGGCCATTCCCTATGGGGCCAGCTAGGACCTGGGGCCAGGGACTCTGGCCAGAGCACAGGAACCAGAAGGGCCGCACCTTTGGGCCCTTTGAGCAGATTGACCTCCATGATGGTCTCAGGTGGGGGCTGTCGCCTCCGCACCACCAACCGCACCACAGGGCCTGCCTCCTTCAGTGCCTCCACTGCCCGGCTGTGCACCACCTCCGACACGTCCACCTCATTCACTCGTAGCACACAGTCATTCACCCTGCAGGGGAAGCCCAAGATGCATGACACTGTGCCACCATCCCTCTACCCACTCTCCCACTTTCTCCCCCTCCTGTCTCCTCCACTCATCATCCCTCCTCTACTCTTTCCCCTCTCAGATCTAATGGAAAGATCATCTTCCAGGCCAGCCCCCGCCCATCTCCATCCTGCCCATGCCACCCATAACCCTACTTCCAGGCCATCTCACCCCAGCCTCCCATCCATGGCAGCTGCTCCACCAGGGATGATCTTGGTAATAAAGATGCCAGGGTCATCGGGGACATGGGGATTGTCGATGCCACCTGCAATACTGAAGCCTAGGCCAGAGTTGCCCTATAGAAAGGGGTGGAAGGACACAGTCTGTTCACTCTGGGGGCACAAAGGAGGGTTCTGGGCACCCCATCTCCCTCTATGTACCAGACCAACTTCTCCAGACCTCAGAAAGGGCCATAGCAGGCCAGGCCACATTTCTCAGAAACCTGGCAGTTTCCCAATCTATACCAACAATTCTGTCAGGGAGGCCTCAGCAAACCCATCCCTTCCACAATTTTCTAGGCCTCAGTGAGCAAGGTCAATTAATATTTGTTAGTGGGCTGATTGATTGATGCAGTGAAGTTTCCTCTGAGGGCTGCTGTTTCCCCATTCTCTCAATGCAGGTCCCTCCATGTGTTTTGCAAGGCTCCAACCCTCTCCACCCCTTTCATTCCTTCCCCACTGGTAGACTCACCCGCTCAAGTACTATTTCCTCATATTTGAACATTCCATCGCTGCCATTCACCTAGGGAAAGACACAAGCAGTTCCCTCAAAGCCTCTTGACCTCTCAGGTATCTACCCCCTATCAATCTGCCTCCTTACTCCATAAAGTAGGATAGCCCAAGTACACCCCAGGGCACCTCTTGGCCACAGATAGGGACAGGTTGACCCCAAGGAGGCCACTCCCTTCCTCTTGCTTCCAACCAACTCAGGCTAAACTCAGTTGCTCAGTTAGCGTACATTGTCTGAGACTGACCCGCCAGTGGTGCACACACCAAGAGGTTGGGCTTCAGGGCCTCAGGGTTCAGTAGAAGTGGTTCAGGGATACCCTAAGGGAGATGGCAGAGATGAAGCATGGCAGGCAAACCATGCCATACCCAGCATACATAGTGGGTACCCAATGGCCCTACCCTTATGAACCACAGCTCTCCCTAACTTGGGAATCACATACTCCCACCACGTTAGTGCTGTAAGGACAGCAGACATCATCTTGTCCCACTCCACTCATGTGACAAGTAGTGACACTGAGGCCCAGAGAGAACATGGAATGTGCCTAAGAGCACACTAGGGGTTAGTGGCAGAGCAAGGACTAGAACCTGGATCTCTAAGTGCTCTTTTGATTACAGTAAACTATCAAGGCCACTGATGTTTTGGTCACTCAACTCCTTCCCCCATTAGAGCTCATGAGAAAAAGCAAAGTTACACTCTTCAGAATACCTCCTTCTGTGGTTCCAGGAACCTAATTCCTCGAATAGGTAGAAGGAGGTAAAGTCCTAACTCATTTTCTACAAAGGGAATTTTGGTCCTGAACCCTTTGTGTTTCCAAGCAGAAAGGGCCAGGGAGGGATCTGGTCAGGAATCAGAGGCAAAGCCAGGAGTGGGACAGTGGATGAGGGAAAAGTTGATGACCCACAGACTGATTGACAACAGAGTCTATTGTCTTCAATACATAATAGCCATAGGAGAATAGGGAAGGGAAGGAGGCAGAAACACAGGGTTGGTTTGATCAACCCACAGAGGTGGCCTCCCAGAGAGGACATTGTTGTGTCAAGTGAAAATGCTTCTGCACCTGCACCCTGGTTCTCACTCTCATCCCCAAGAATGCAGGAGCCCTCTTGTCTCTCTCCTCAGGTATCCTGGCACTTCTCAAACTTTTACTAGCTATGTTGTCCCTTTCCTGACCCTGACATCTTCCTCAGAAGAGGAAAGCTGGAAACCCAGGGTGGGGGCTTCTCCACATGCCCTGCTCTGCTTCCCCTATCCCATCTCCACCTCACACAGCTTTGGCTTCTAGAAGCAGAGAGGGGGAGAGGGTTAGTTAGTCATGCTTCCACCATTTCTGGGTTTGGCCCCAAAACTTCCTGCCCTGCAGCCCTGGGAGCTGGTGGGAGGACTCCAGCTGTAGCCTCACCCTAGTTCCGGATCTCAGGAGGAAGAAGTGATGGTTCTTCAGAGACCCGGAATCAATACAGCTGCCTTAAGTACCATGCAACAGACACACAGGCAAAAGGACACCCATGTAGCTCTTGTATGCCTAGTCTACCGTGTGAGCCCACATGTGACAAGCCATGCCTTAAGCCAAGCTCAGGTGGTACCCAGAGGCTTCTGACTTCCAGTGGTCTACCCTCTAGCCCCTACCCTACCTCTACTCAAGGATCTTGCTGCTAGGGACAGGGGCCATCCAGGGATAAGCCCTGGCAAAGAAACCCCAGCTAACTGGCTCAGCTCTGGGATTGGCACTGGTCTTCCAGTTAGGCAGGACAGACTTAAGAAGGTATTTACAAGGGAAGGGCCCCAGGACAAAGGAACAAGGGAGAGATGGCACTCAGGAGAGAGGACAAAGGGCCAAAGCAAGGGACAAGAGAAGCAGTAAGTGTGGACAGACAGAAGGCCAAAACAGAAGACTCCTCTCTCCAGGAAGTCCCCACCTTTGCTTCTGAGTAAGAGCATATCTGATCCCCAGAGGAGGACAGAGGCAGCCAGAATGGTCACCAGCTTGGGGCAGTCAGTACCTGCCCTCAACAGCAAACCCTCCTCATCCTCTCTCTCCACCCTGGAAGCTGCAGAGTTGAATATTCAGACAGGCCCTCCGTTTTGTGTGCCAGGGACCTGGCTCTGCCGGCCCAGCCTCCATTTTGCTGCTTCTCCCACAGATGCTCCTTCCATTTTCTAAGCTGGCAGTTTAGACTGGGAGTGGAAGCCAGAGTTGTGCCCGGCACCCAGAGGCTCCCAAGCTGTGCAAAGTCAGGGCTGGGGGGCTAAGCTCTCTCACATCTGGGGGTACCTAAGAGGGACATGGCCTACTGGGGCTAGTCCCTGCACCAGGGCAGCTGTCCCTTGCCTGGCTCCAGGCACCATGCCTGCTCTGAAGCGAGGAAGCTTCTTTGCTTCAATCACCCCCCCCAACACCCCCACCTCAGCATACACACTTCAGAACTGCTTGGACAAAAGAGTCTGTCCTTCTCAGCAGCCTCTCAGCCTTGCTTGGGATGTGTCTCTTGCTCCCCCACCCCCGCCTGTCAAGTGCCTCTCACCAAGGATATACCCCCCCCCACACACACACACACAAGCACACGCGTGCACTCTTGCAGCCACATGCTCACACACATACACATGTAGCCACACACACAAACACAACGATCCCTGCAACCTTATCTACAGAGACACCTTCACATTCAGAGACACATCCCCACACGTCCATGTGCACATTCACACACAAAGGGACTGGGATGGAGAGGGACTCATGGCATCAAGGGAGGAAGCTTGGTGAGCCAGGCACATGGACTCCTCCACATAGATTCACAGGAGCTCCATTGCCTTCCTCCACACACATACATACACACACATATGTCCCCCCTACGCAGAACACCATGCCCCCTCCTCCTCTCCTGTGGAGACACATACCACACACAGCCCCCGCAGAACCTCCCGCCCCCTGCCAGACACAGAAACATTACCAAACCCCCGCACTGAGACAAACCCAATTCCCCGACACAGGAAAATGTGCCCCTCCGCCATACCTTCACCCCCTGACACATACAGCTCTTTCTAACTGCCTCCAAATGGAGACCCCCCAAAACAGACACACACAAGGAGCCACACATTTCCAACCACCTCTCTTTGCCCAGATGCAATGCTAGGGCTCAGGGTCCACCAGTTTGGAGTCCCAGCAGCCCCTGCTGCATCCCAGGCCTCTAGGGCCCCACTCTCCAGCCCTCTGAGGTTGCCCCACCACTGCCCCCACCCCCACCACCCCCGCTGGTCCATACCTGCTCATACCAGTCCCGGTTGGTACAGGTGCACTCAGGCCACCAACTGGGGCCACTGCCGTTGAGTTTGGGGGTGCTCTTGCCTGGGACTGGCTTAGGGGCCACTGGCCCCACATCCCGGCCTGTGGGGATGAGCTTGGCCTTGGTGCGAGGGGTGGGGGTGGCCCCCGCCTGCGAGGGCAAGGTCTGCGAGCTGTAGCCCCCATAACCTGTGCTGGCCCCATTGCCCCCACCTGGCCCGTAGGGATCGGGCACCTGCCAGTCCCCGTAACCTGGAGGCTCGAGGCGCCGCAGGGCGGCCAGGCGAGTCACCTCATAGCACTCGGGGCACTTACAGCAGTGCTGGTGCTTGTGCATGACACTGCCCCCCGCAGCTCGGACCCCCCAGCCCACGCCTGTTTCCACGCCGCCGCCACCACTGCCGCCGCCGCTGCCGGCTTCCCGGGCACACTCACACTGCTCGGACCAGGAAGGGGGGGGTACCCGTGGAGGCGCCCTGGCGGAGCGGGGCCTGGGGCCGGGCGGGCGTCCCGGGGCCTCTGCCCCAACGCCGCCCCGCACCCATGGCTCCCCCTCCAGCACTGGCGGCTCCGTGTCGCCCGTTGTGACTCCTGGGCCAAGGCCCAGGGGCAAAGAAGAAGCGGGAGCCCAGGGAGAGTCTGGGTGCTGCGAGAACCGCTTCTGCTGTGGTCCCCAGGATGGATCTGAGTGGAGTCAAGAGCATCTCTCCCTGGCTCCCTTCTCAGTTGATTCCAGCCAATCAGTGCGCAGAGTCAGGCAGCGGCAGCAGCAGCGGCAGGAATGCTAAACAGCAGCTCCTTAAAGGAACAGAGGCAGTGGCACCCTTAGGCTCAGCCCCAGCCCCACGGATCTCTGGGGTATCACCGACCCTAGGGAGAAGGCAGAGGACGTGGGCCACAGGAGAGCTCAGGCACCGGATCTCATCATGCCCCTATATGCCCAACTCCAGCCTATCCTCCCCCCACTCCACCCCACCCCACTTCCAAGAGGGAGTTGCAGGGAGATGCTCAATGGGTTCCCAGGCTTGCTCTGAGTTAGGGCCACCAGAAGTAAAGACAAGGAAGCAGAACGGACCAAAGGGATGTTGGAGCAGAATGGTGGGAGGAAGGTGCTCTTTCTTACAAGGGACCAAGGAAGAAGGCAGCATATTAGGCTCACTCTCCTGTCAGTGCCATCTCCACAGGACTATTGCTCTCTCAGCCTTTAGGCCCTGAAATTACTATGACCTCACACTTGACCTTCTACCATTACCAGTGAGGGACTCAACCCTTAGAACAGGGGTTAGCAAGAAGCTGTAAGTCCTTGTCCCTGCCCCACAAGTCCCTACATTCTTGACTCCACCTTTGCACGATTATGTTGGGGAGAAAGCAGTTTTAGGATGCCAACAGTAAAAGGAGTCCAGGAATGGCAGAGAGATAAGAAGAGATCTGAAGTGAGAAAAACCATTCTGTGAGACTGGAGTAAAACTTGGGAATACCTGTCCAAGGACATCCTCTTACTCTCTCCTAGCTCAGTCTGCAGAGGGATGAAGGAAGGATGACATGCCAGAAAAGCTCTATCTTTTTGTTGCTCTTATTTTGTCTTTAACTACCAATTTTTGAGTCTTTACAAAGTCCTAAGTGCTTTATATGCAAAACAAAAAACAAACAAACAAACAAAAACCTTAGTAAGGTAGTGTTATTATCTTAGTTTTATCAGTGAGAAATTGAGGCTCAGAGATGTTAACACAGCCAGGTAACATAGCTGGAAGCGACATTAATAAGGATACAAATCCTGGCCATTTGATTCCAGAGTCCATACAGTGAACCACTCCAGTACAATAAGTCTATTCTAAGTCCTTCTGCAGAACTTAGAACTCAGTTCAATTCAATAAACGTTAATTGAGCACCAACTCTGTGTGAGACCTTTACCTAGGTACCATGGATATAGACATTCAGCCTTAATTCAACAAATATTCATGGAACACTTGATATGTGCCAGACATGGTTCTAGGACTTTGGGGTTATAGCAGTAAACTCAACAAAACAGAACAAATAAAGCAAACCCCTGCCCTTGGGGAGCTTATATAGAAGACACAGACAAAAATAAGCACAATAGGGCCAGAAATGGTGGCTCACGAGTCTGATCCTAGTGTTTTGGGAGTCTAAAGTAGGAGGATTGCTTTTTTGGGAGTCCCAGGTGGGAGGATCAGTTGAGGCCAGGTGTTTGAGGCTGCAGTGAGCTATGATTGTTCCACTACACTCTAGCTTGGACAACAAAGTGAGATCCTGACTCAAAAAAATCACAATAAATAAATGAATTATATAGTACAGTAAGTCCTTATTGAATATTGTTAGTATGACTTCAAGCAAAATGACATATAACAAAATCAATTTTTCCATAGGCTAATTCATACAAACAAGAGATAAGTTCCTATGAATTATTTCTGGTCACAAAACATCACTAAACTTCTGAATAAAGACCCCAAATACTTCTAATATTAAACATTGAAATATGAGCTATACATACACTTAAGAAAGATTAATAAAAACGAGTAAAATATTTTTCACCCAATTTTTGCTGAATCAGAGTCATAGTGGTGTGATGGTAGGTTAAATAAAATCAAGAAATATATTTTTGCAAAGTGAAAATTGTAAGGAACATCTATCACCACATAGTTCAAAAGCAAACAATAATAGATATAACAGTCTTGCTCAGGGTTTATCATTTATTGTTGTGCATTTGTATGATTATCAGCTACTTTACAATTTTTATTTCACAATAATTTGTATTTATTTATTCATAAAATTTCCAATTTGCTTATTTTAGTTCAGAGTCATGGGTAGGGCCAGAACCTATCCTGGTGGCACAAGGCAGAAGGCAGATACCAATCCTGGACAGAATGTCATTCTGTCACGGGGCACAGTCACACCCACCCATACTCATTTATACTGAGACCATTTAGACTTGCTAATTCATCTAATATGTACGTTTTTTGGATGTGGGAGGAAACTAGAGTACCTGGAGAAAAAACATACAAAGGTGGGGACAACATGCAAACTCCACTCAGAAAGTGGCCCCAGCCAGGAACTATTTTACTCATCAACATTATTAACAAAATGTTGTTGAACTATTTGGGGACCCGCTACTGATATGTATGTGGCCCACTTTTCAGACACTGCCACTTCCCATAGTCGCCTGCTACCAACCATGGCCAATCTCACTGTGTTGTTTGATATCCCCGATGGCAAACCCTTGGGCTGCACCTCCTTTGACGACCTGGCAACCAAGAAATGACTGCTCATCTAATCCATAAACTATGTTAACAAATTGCAGATGTTTGCAGACAAAGTTCCAAAGACAGTGGAAAACTTTCATGCCCTGAGCACTAGAAAAAAAGGATCTGATTATAAGGGTTATTACTTTGTTTTTTCTTTTCTTTCTTTCTTTTTTTTTTTTTTTTGTTGTTGTTCTTGATACCAAGTCTCACTCTGTCACCCTGGGTAGAGTGCCGTAGCATCATAAC